CCTTGTTTACGAGCAGAAAGCTCTCGGATTTCATCAAAAATATCTTCATTTGTTCCAAAGATGAACAAAGGTTTTACGGGTTTGGGACGATATGAGTGTGAGTAATTAATGACAGAATTTTCATTTATGGGTGAACTATCCCTATCCCAAAGCAGATTTACCATGTGATGCCTGAAACCCTAATTGAACAAAACCAATAAAACAGTGAATATTAGACATTTGATAGATTTCATCTGCTTTAAAAACAGCATCATCAGCCACATTGATGAATAGTCCAGGACTCATGTGGTTTAGTTTGAGGTTTAGAAGTCTGCTGGTCTGATAGTTGAACTATACAATCAAATGGGCAGCAAGCAAGCTAATGTAAGAAGTAGTTCATCTGGGCTCATGGATCAAACAGGGTGAGTGTCACTTCAGCAGGAGGGTTGTAATCAGCACAATCTGTCGAGCTGCTTGTGAAGATGTGGCTCTACAGAATGCTGTCTACAGAGGGAAGGGAGGAGAAGCAGAGAGAATGATCGGATAGTGTTTATTCAGATAATTAGCTGCTCCAGGCATGCGGCAGGAGAATGGCTGAGGCATGAAGACCTGCTTAAAAGAGAGAAGTGAAGGAAAACCAGACATTTAAAAACATGAGCAACACCAGAGGTCACTGAACTCACTCTGTGTTAGACATCCTATCATCTCATGCACATGTAGTCAAAGGCCCCATTTGCACTCAGTATTAACCTCTGTCCCAACTGATCTCATCACAAGTGGTCAGCCAAAACCAGGATTGCTGCTCAAATTTAACATGAGTGCATTAACATGAGTGTTATAAATTATATATATATAAGATGATGGATGGATGGATGGATAGATGGATAGATAGATGATGGATAGATAGATAGATAGATAGATAGATGGGATAGATAGATAGATAGATAGATAGATAGATAGATAGAAAGCAGCTGTTGCGGCATCTTTTAACAAAATAAATTTTCAAACTTTTAAGAAACTCTTTAAAGTACAATCAAAAGCATTTGGCGGAAATTTTTTAGCAATTAATCCAATACTAAAGCAGATGGAGTTTCTTGTTTTGGCCAAATCAGAAAATTAGGACTCTTCTACACAACAAGGCATTTTTCTTTCACTTGAAACTTTGTAAGTTTCCAAGACCTCTGCCAAGAAAAGCCTAATAAAATGCTGTGCATGGCAAGCTTTTGGCATCTTGTTGCACAAAGAATATCTTTAAAGGACAGTTACAACAGGCTCCGCGCAGTAGCACCGGTCCTCTGGTTCTGGCTCAGGAGAAACTGGACCTGTTTGAGAGCATGCACCGTCCTCCCCTCCTGCACTTTTCCTACCATCTGCAGCTCAGCAGATGCTCACCTGAATTACAGGACAGATGGTTCTCAACAGTGCTCTGGCTAAACAAATCATCGTGTACATCACTGACCCGGTTCACCTTCAGATCGCAATCACTGCTGATGGAGAACGCCTGCCAAAGACCACAGCCATTCAGACCAGCAGCCTGTCCACTCGCTCTGTTTGTGTGCCATTGTGTTTTTATGGGGGTTTTGGGCATTGACTGTTAAAGGGATAGTTCAACCAAATATGAAAATTTACATTTGATCACCCTTATATTTTCCAAATCTGTATGCTGTTATTTTGTCAGTGAAATGCAGAAGTAAACATTTCTGAACAACCACTACACAGCTTGTGCCAGGGAAAGAAAGAAAGAAATACTATAAAAGTAGCCCATACTACTCATGCACTTTATTCCAAATCTTTAAGCCTTTTGTCACACACGCAAAAAAAAAAACAAACAAACAAAAAAAAAACAATTGTAACTAGTGTTATCCAGTTTAAAATTATTTAATAATTGTTCATATTATTAAAGGTGCACTAGGAGATCTTGGAAAATGCTAACTTTAGCCTGACAGCACTGAAAGCGAACGACCCACCCTCGCTGCAATCGCCATCCAAAGCCACGCCCCCTGAACTCATATACGCACACAGACCAGGATACCAGAGACAACATTACTACAATAGGCTACATCAGCGGTTCCCAATTCCAGTCCAAGTGCATTAAAGTGTGCGAGACGTAAATTTAAATAGTATTTATTTACAGAGGTATATTATGTCACACTTCTCTAGTAAGTTTCATCTGTGTGTGAAGACGCTGCGCAGCGCAAATCCATGAATGAATGTTCCGAAGTGAAGTAAACTTCAACGGATTTCCCCTGCTCAGGGACAGGGAGGAGGGAGCAATGAACACTGTGTAGGGATCATATCGATCGGAACACAGTTCATGCACGTAGCTCACTTCTAACGAGCTGGTTATCTGAATCGGGTGTGTTAACTAAGCGAGACATGCCAAATATGCAGAGGACAGGAATTGGGAACCGCTGGGCTACATCATGTGTCATTCACCAGTGAGAAAACTTTTAAAGTACTATACCAGGAAGGAAGATCGGGTTGTTTATGTTTGTCTGCCATTGTCTGACGTATCCTGTCTGCGCGAACCGGGTGTGCAGAGGTATGCTAATACATACGTTGACAGGCAGGTAGGAAAGCATATTAAAACGCTCGGATGAACATTTCTTGATCCTACGCCTTCCACAGAATATATAAAGATATATATATGCAGACAAATACATTTAGACCACTTAACTTAATGATTGCTATCGGGATGTGAAGAGACTTTCAACCAGCATAACAAAAAATGTTTCTGAATACAATCACCTATTGCACCTTCAAAATAACAATTTTACAAAAAGGAGAGAATATAAGAATAAAA